AATAAAGGAGCTTCTCCTCCTCTCCACTCTGGTCTTGTGGTCTGTTTGCCAAGGACTGACAAGGCGTCCTTTGGGATATAACATTAGGTTAGAGACCACTGCTCTAATTAAAGAACACTTAATGACAAGCTTGTTAATGTTTTTTCCCCTCCTCCATTCATATGCCATCTTCTTTCTATCCTCTTTCACACTTAACTTGCACCGTATCCCTCATATCTGTCTGCCTGCCTGCGCCTTCCTTTCTTTCTTTCTTTCTTTCTTTCTTTCTTTCTTTCTTTCTTTCTTTCTTTCCTCCCTCTCTCCTGCTGCTTTTATATGCATCTCCTCTTATAACAATTTCCCTCCTTTCTCCATTTCTTTTTTATTTCCAGCTTTAAAAATGGCTGCCGCCACTGCTGCTGTTGTAGAAGTAAAAGCTGTTCAGGCCTTGCCTATTTTTCCAGTCAGCTTGGCCTGGTGGGAAAGTGGCCACACATGTGTCAAGAAGGCAGTTAGTACACAAGTTTGAGTGGGCTCAGGATGCAGCAACTCACCTCTGTCTGCGATGTAGTCCAGGTCTGCAACATCTCATGCTGTGTTTTTGATACAAGATGGGGTCTGTGCCTGCTGTAAATCAGTATCAAAGTAAGCAGGTAAGTGTGTTTTAATTAGTGCCTCTGTAATAGTTCTAAGTTGCACACATAATCACTGGATAGGATTCTCTTTCCCTCTGTATAAATGAGGAATGCAATACAAGCAAAGTGGTTTCTTTGTGGGGAGAAACACTTGTTGCTTTCAGGGGGTGTCCTGCCAGTTTCAGCTCTCATGCAATTGCTGATGTGCCTGGTGGATTAAAGCAGCTCACTTGGATGAACCTACAAGCAGAGTGAAATTCCTTTTCTTCCATGCTGTTGAAATTATTAGCCCTGCTTTTTTCCAAACTCCTCCCACCACACCTGCAGGGCACCTGTTGCCGCCAAAGCCAAGGTAGTCCAACAAAGAGGCACAGAACACTGCTGCACTGAGACCCACCTTATGGGGAAATGAGGCTCAAGCTGGGTCCCAGCCCACAGTTTCTCCACCGGGATACACAGGGTGTACCAAGAAAAGCCCTTCACTGGCCCTTGCCCCTCTCACACTCCTTCTGAAGCACAAATCCACCTGTTCTCTCACAAATGGCACACTTTTTGCCACCTTATCACTCTCAGTCCTGCACTTTTCTCTTCTTTGTTTACATTTTAGCAAACAAAGTTAGGCACTGCAGGCCAGGCTGTAATGTAACTTTCAGATCGTCAAATCTAAAAAAGGATGAAGAAGGGATGTCCCCTCAATTCAGAGCTCAGTGCCTGTAGGAATTTAATGTATAGCCACCCTGATGTCTCTATAATCCATTTCCCCAACTGACCTACTTTAAAGCACTTTTATTATGGTGAATGAGATTAACAGCCTTGTACTGGGTGCACATAAGTCTCTGTGTTCAGAGGGTTATGTACATTAAGGGCGGAGGATATTGGATCATGTATTTATTTATTTTTGGATTTATATCCTGCCTTTTTCCTACAAAGGGCTCAAGGCAGCTTCCATCATTCTCCTCCTCCATCTTATCCCCACAACAACAACCCTGTGAGGTGGGTTGGGCTGGCCCAAAGTCACCCAGGTGGCTCCATGGCCGAGCGGGGACTAGAACCCAGATCGCCTGAGTCCCAGCCCCAGGCTCTTGACCACTACAGCACACTGGCACATGCTCTAAAAGGCTTTACCAGTCCTTCAAGATATGGCAATCCCACTAAAAGAAAAAATATTTATGAACACAGCATCACTAATGCACGTAGCACTTTATGGGACAATGTAAACAAAAGAGAGGAATCTGATCCAAGGAGTCCACAATCTAAACTTAGCAATTTTATAAATGAAAATGGCACAAAAGCTGCAAGCTACAGAGGAATTGGAGAAGCAAGGCAGAAGTTCACCAGTATACCAGAAGTGGGACTTTATCTCCCCAGAAGTGATGTTCTGAACCTGAAACAGAAACCTGTTTGATTTCAATTCTTAACAATTGCTGTTGGCAACCTTGAGTAATCAAAAGCTTCAATCAGAGGTGTCAACAGGTGGTCAAGAGCTCAGAGGCCCCACTTCCTGTAAGATCTTCTGCTCACCTCAGAGAAGTTGAAGCTGCTTCACATGCAGAGTTGAGCTTGGGATCACAGGAGCGCTCCTCCACCTCGCTTATTTTATACCATGATTAGGGAATCACGTCCTGCTCAAGCTGCTTGTCAAATGGAAGGTACATCCTGTTACTTTAACTTCCGCCCAAGGAAAGAGCCATCAAGATTCCAACCTGAATCTCAACTGCAAGGTAAGCAACAGCATTTGTAGGAATCTGAGATGTCTGGGTTGTTACCATCCAAGCTATTCCAACTTAGGAACCTTGCTAGGGAACTCGGCATCTTAGGGCGAATGCAACCAACTTACCATGTAGCAAGGTTTTTCACAGGTAGGTTTCATGGAAATCTGTATTAATGCAAATACAGTATGGATTCTTTTCCTGCTGTGCATTCTAATATGGAATAAATGTTGGGTGTCTTCTCAATGACTAGCAGTCCTGATGGATCTATGCTAGCTCCACCATCAGAAACACATGTCTATGTACACCTACTGCTGGGGAACATGGGCAGGAGAGCACTACTGCACTCATGTCCTGCTTGTGGATTTCCCATGGGCAGCTGGTTGGCCACTGGGTGAAGAAGATGCTGGACTACGTACAGCCAGCTGAGCTCTTTTTTGGTTCTTCAGGCTTCTCTACATTTCCCACCTGACTGGATGGTCATCTGTATTACTGATCAATGGCTGGAGAGAACAGAAGTCTCTTGAGACACGAGCGTAAAAACCCTTTGAGACATTGCTGGGGCTGTACAATCAACAGAACATTCACAGTTTATTCAGACATACAGGAAATAGATGTGGCAAGAAGGTAGCACCCTCAAAGGGACTACCAAGATGGAGTGTGTTCTATTCTGTTCTGTTCTGTTTATTTATTGTAAGCCATCCCTAGATGTTCTGTAGGGGATGGGATAGAAAAGCTTTTAATAAATAAGAAGCTTTCATAACTGAATAATTATGTTCAGTTTGGAGGAAGGCCCAGGGGCAGCTTCGAGGCCCCTGCTGCGCTCTCTTTAGGGTCCCTTGGCTTTATCCCAGGCTGCAGCCACACACCCTTTCAAACAGGGGGCATCTCTTCGGAAACAGGACAGTGCTGTGTAAAGTAGGACACTGAGCCAACCAACACCTTGGCAGCCTCTAAGCAGATGCACCCACACACCTCACCTCAGGGCGAGAAATGCTTATCCCCACACCGGTATGCAAGTGCCATGCGGCAGTGAAGGACTGGCCCTCATGGCTGTGTAGGAACGGAATTTTAGTCCAGACTTAATTCTCCTACCGGGAAGCCCGTCTTCAGACAGGGATGTCCATGACTTCACTCACTTCAGACTGTTGGAAGTGAGTCTTCATGCTCTGTGGGCCCTTCTGCTGAGAAGCATCTTGGACATCTGCCCCAGAGTCCCACCCATACAACACCACACATTCTTCTGTCCAATTTCCTGTCTGTTACCCCAAATGCTTCCCCTTCTTCAGTCCTGAGTCACTCTGCCAAGATGGGGACAGCCAAGATGCAGCATGTGATTTCCAGAGGCACACCAAGAGCAGAGGAGCGGCCTTCTTATGAGAAGCCAGTCTCCGAGGATGCAGGATTGCACCTATTGTGACTGTGTATGATTAAATGCTGAGATTAATCAGCTTTTAGTTCACTGCATCAGCTTTCTATTCCAGCACAGAAATTTGATCTAAGCACCACACAGGGAGTGTTTCCTGTTTTCCCACCACATAACCTTTAGGTGGCATTGGGTCATAGTGGAGTAACACAAATACACAAGAGTAAACAGCACTACCTTTCTCTTTTACAATACTGCATTTTCTCTGCTCTAAAAATGCTTGCTAAAGCAGTCTGTAGTCACACCAGTTAAACTGTAGGGTCACAATTTTGTCGTAAGAACCTGTATGCCACTGTTAGTAAGGTATAACAACCACGTGATAAATGCCTAGTGTAGAAAGGTTTCACATCTTTCCTTCCATATTTTTTCCTGTAATAAAAAGACAGATAACACTATGGGGATACACATTGGAAAACAATGTCAGTCTATGCCCTCCATACAGTGATGTAAATGAGTCAAGGTCAGAGTACAGTAAACGGGTTTTTTTCCATCAAAAAGTACAGGGAAGAGAAACCTGTGTTAATATTGCTATCCCTGGATCCCGCCAATGGATGCCATTTGAATGGCTACTACCAGTTTTGGTATTTGCCAACCAGAAGTGGTACCATGAAGACACAATGAGTTTTGACAAGCTTCACAAGTATATTGTCAGAATATCTAATTCCTTCTGTTAACCCACAAAATTTGGTAGCTACAGCAAAAATGTTGCAGAAAATGGAAGTAGAGTTTTTTGAGAGTTGTAACCATGACAAAGTCTTTAGCATGGATGAAGGTCTGTGAAACCTGACAGTGACAGGCATGTGAGCAGCCCAAGTATACAGACAAATTCATTTGGTGGTCAGTTATAAGCAAATTCAAAACTGGGCTGGTGGAATAAATTCAATCTGGTTTGGGAAAAAAAAGTCCAAAGCAAGAGGAGAAGGGCAGGGGTAGAAAGCAAGAGCGAGAGCAATTGGTTTTGGACTGAAAGTACATGTTATGGAGACGTGAGGCAGCTACCAAAAATGGTCTTTTTCCATAATGGACCCTTCCCCAAGTTGGTACTTTTCAGGCCACAGCTGAAAAGCTGTGTTCTAGACTACAGATCCCATCATCCCTAATCATTTGTTGCAAAAGCTAAGATTAGTGGACACCTATGCTCATTCTATATTCTTTAATGTAAGGGTGGAGACAGAAAAATATTTTTCAGAGCAAACAGAACTCTCACTTGATAGTTTAGCACTTGTCAGTACTTCAAATGCCAACTCCTCCTTTTTCCTTTTTGAAGACACTGTGGGTAGATGTGTAAAAAAGCTCTTGTTATGACATGTTGACACAAGAGATGCTAGGAAAGAATTTGCCCCCTGATGAAATTGACTCTTGAGTCTGAGGGGGCTTTTCTCATTTCCTGTAGAATATGGAGCAATTTTCCATTCCTTGATCTTTTTTTCTTGGTGCAAGTGTGTGTCACAGCAGGGGTGGCAGACTTCAGGATTTCAGGGTCCACCTTTTAATTAGGACACTGAGAACTTGATCCGCATGCAAAGTATTGGAGTAGGCAGACTTACACGAGAAATTAAAGAACAAGGAGCTTCTGGGCACATGTTCAGCCCAGGATTTATGATCAGTACAGAAACCAAATATTCAAATCCTTTTTTGAGACCATAAGAAAAAGAAAAGCCATGCTGGATCCGATCAATGGTCCATCCAGTTTGTCACTCTATTCACATGGCTGAAGAGCTGCCCACAAGTTCAATCCAGATTCAGGCGAGACATCAGGAAAAGCTTCCTCATTGTCAGAGCAATACAACAGTGGAACCAGCTGCCTAGAGAGGTGGTGGGCTCTCCCGCACTGGAGACGTTCAAAAAGAAACTGGACAGCCATCTGAGTGGAATGGTGTAAACTGGTGTCCTGCAACAGTAGGGGCCTGGACCCGATAGCCTTCTTGGCCCCTTCCAACTCTACTATTCTATGATTCTGTGATTCTGCAATCCCTCGAGCAGGATGTGTGCAAGACTTACTCCTGCCAAGCTCCTCAGAAACTAGGGGAGGAGGCATGCTGCCTCTGGTCAAGGAGACAGCACACAGCCAGCAAGGCTAGGAGCCACCAATAGCCTCCTTCCTCATGAATCTATCCAATTCCTTTTTAAAGCTGTCCTGATTGGTGCCCATCACACTTCCTGTGGCAGCAAATTCCATAATTTAACTATATGCTGTGTGAAGTACTTGCTTTGATCTGTGTTAAACCTCCCACCAATTAGCTTCATGGGATGACCTCAGTGTCTTGTCTCATCAGAGAGGGGGAAATGTCTCCCTCTCTGCTTTCTCCACACCGTGCATAATTTTAAAGACCTCTATCATATCCCCCCTGACTAACCGTTTTTCTAAGCTAAACAATCCCAGTTATTGCAGCTGCTCTTCGTAAAGAAGTTGCTGTAGCCTTTTCATAATTAGCTACCCTTCTCTGCACTTTTCCAGCTCAATAATGCCCCCTTTCAGGTAAAGCAACCAAAACTAAAGCAACATTCCATGTGGGGCCAGACCAGAAATGTGTATAAGGGGATTATGAACTTGGAAGATTGGAGGACATATGAAAATGCTGGGCTGGGGTTCTGTGTTAACTATGGGGTTCTGTGTTAACTATAAATCTAGAATGTGCCCTTTTCACATTTGCGAGTGGCAGCCCAAAACCAGCATAAGAGGGGATTAGCAGATTTGGGGTTGTACATGCTCTTCATCCCAAAATATTCACTTTTCACTGTGTTTGCCTACCTGCCTGCTCAGAATGAATATCACATTCATACCCTTTGCAGGTACAAATAAGCACAGACATGTTCTCACAGTCTAGGAGTTTGCAGGAAGCAGTTGTGACTACCAGATTCCCCTGTTATGAAAGCATCCACACATATGGACCAAGATAAAGGCATGCACCTGTTGGTTCAAATACATTTTGGCAGATCACATACAGACCTCCTGCTTCGGGGGAATGCAGTGCACACTCGTACCAGGTCTCTTGTATAAACTTAGAACATGGTTTTAAATGCCTTTTAGCTTTAATATTCAAATTTCATACAAGAGTATGCAAGACACATTCAGGGAATAAAGATTAGGGATCGCTCTTGGTTGTTCCAATGTCTGGCCTGGCCCATGAAAGCTTATGGCACAATAAGAGCTCAGTCCTATACATGAGCTGGCTAGAGTTGCAGGGCTTTTTCCTGTGAAAACATGCATAGGGTTGCACCTTAAATCTGTTAGTCATTAAAATGTGATTTTTTAAATTGATTAGCATGCTTTGACACAGATAAACGGGATGCATGCCAGACACATCCTGTGTTGACCACAATTTTTAAACCACATTTCAAAAGCTGAGAAGAATCTTTGCTGAATCTTTGCTTCAATGATAATGAATCCTATCAGCCATAATTTCTGACCTTTCGACTTACCTTCTTTTTCCATAGTTGTAAATCAGCATTCCTTTGTAAGGTTATTTATCATGGGGATATGAATTAAACTGTATTCCATGTTATAGATCTTTAGATGTCTCCCACAGTAGGGATCGTAATTAAGAATAAAACTTCAGTATTGTAATTTCTTTATGCAAATCAA